GAATGAGAGAACCCCTCAAGCTTCATCTCAGGGCTGGGCTACAGGATGCACACGCACCAGCCGAGGGGAGAGAAAGGGAAATGGGTCCCGGATAACCACAAAGCTGCAAATAAGTCTGCTGCAGGATCTTGAAACTACGAGATCAAGCAAGGGTGATCTCAGACATCAGAGAAGGATACATGAGTGTGGCCGGCATCACACGAACAATGCCCAAGCCAAATGCCTCCTCATCAGCAAGGTTTGAGAAAAACAAGAAGATACATGAAACATTCCAAGGGAGCCCAAGAAATGAAAGAAATAAAGTCTGCAAAGATGCGGCACAATCAGGTTTGATCTCCTCAACCTGAGGAATTGGTACTGACCTTCAGGTCTAAATGAGAGGAGAGAGACTCCAATACCTTTGTCTTGGAGGAGGAAGATTTAAGAAACCCACTTCAGTGAGATAAAGGAAACGTTCCCTTTGTCTCATGAGACGTAGGACTCTGTTGACTTTAATGGCAATGTGCCTATGAAGGCGATGTGTAAGGTGGAAGGGGCACGAGAAATGTGGGGAGCAAAGACCTTGCACTTTGAATCCCAGGACTGACATAGGTTTGTTCTCATCCTTCAGAATGTCACTCCTCTTCATTTAGCATTCTTAAAATATTCATTGTAAAGCCTGCCTTCTAAACCATATGGACTTGTAGCACATATCATACGCTTTGTAAACTATATAACATTTTATGCTTTATCTTGCACGCGTGTAGCGTGTTCTTATTTGATAAAACACGCAGAGGATTGCAGCTTCTTTGGGACTATGATGTTCTAAGATGAGTCATACGAAGTCATAAGAAGACTTTCTTATAACATTCTTAGCGAGTGTTAGTAGCTCATCCATTTGGTGTTCGTTCTGGTCTGAGCTTGAAACTGAAGAATAGGGTGGGAAAAAAATCTTGGTATTTCCAAATGAAAATTTTCAATGTCTCGGTGTGTATGGTTATTTACCATGACCTTGAAAATGACTATGGAGTTACTGATGTCTTAATTAAAACACACATATAAATATGTCTAATTTAAGAATGAACTCTTATTGTAGTAATCTCTAGGTAATAACAGCTATAGTTTCTAATAAGGTTTAGCTACAGAATCTTGACCTTACAACTTACTCAGGGGACTGTAAAGATTTGTCTGTCTCATTTTGGTCAAGAGGCCTTATTTTCCTTCAGGTAAATAAGGGAAGATAGATGGTGAGTGAGCGAAGAGAAACAAGGGTTTCTCCAAGCTGATTTACATATTGATTCCTTAAATTGCTATTTAATTTAGTGCCTTCTAATATACTGTGCCTTGAAAATGTTTCCCAAACATTTATTGGCTGCAGTAATTCTACCTAGGGTGTATGCAGATCACACCATCATTAAATATTAATGTACTCATGAAATGTTAATAGTATGTTAATGTGAGATGCACTGAAATGTGCTCACTGGGAGTTGGTTGAAAACTACTTATCTCCTGTCTTTTATGTATGTTACGTCTTCTTTGTGCTTAGATTTTCTCCATTCTTTCTCACCATGAGGACATTAGTATCTGCCCTTTCTCAGGCGTCTCAAGGTGCCCTGGTGGCACAGTAGATTCAATACTGGACTGCTGACCAAAAAGTCTGTGCTTTGAACTCACCAGCCCTCCTTGCAAGAAAGATGAAGCTGCCTGCTTCCTTCCATAAGGATTTACCAAGTCCGAACCCCCATGGAGCGGATCTGCTTTGTTATTGAGGCTTACTATGACTTGAAGGCATAAGTTGATAGTTGAAGGCTGGCTCAAATAACTTTTCTTTAAAAATAGAATTAAATATTCTTCAGCTGATAAGAATTTAGATGGTCTCCCCTTCCGGTGTCCTGAACTGGAATTCCCTGATAGAGTCAGGGGTGGGAAATCAAATGAGTTGTCAGTCCATCTCATGGTAGTGTGTGTGTGTGTGTGTGTGTGTGTTTTCCTCTTGAATCATGTCCCATTGAGTTTTCAGGGCTGTGACCTGTTAGAAGTAATCACCAGTCCTTTCTTCTGTGGCACCTCTGGCTGGAATTTAACTGTATCTGAGCTGCCAACCTTCCGGTTTGTAGTCAAGTATCGGTTTGCACTGCTCAAGCAGGACGGTCTCCCTTTAAAAGAGTGATTTGTGTTGCATCTAATGAGACTGTTCATGTTCAGACAGACTGGTGAAATACATCTCTCAAGGCCCCCCAGCAATGGCTTACCCAACCCCACAGAAAGTGGGATTTAGTTGGAGTTTACATTCCATTTTCTCCAAGAAAAAAGACAACTCAGGACATGTGCCTTGGTGGGGTAGGGGATTGCTTTTGAGTTGATTTTAATCATGGTTCTCTCCTCATTCCCTGACAAGACAAGGCAAGCTCTTTCTCATCCTCAGTTCTCTAAGAACCTTTCTTGGCTATCATATTATCTAAATTTGCCTTTCCCAAGATTTTCTTAGCTAGAACTATTTCTTTTGATTGTGTGTCTAATTCAAGTGGAGTGATTGCTTTGTGAAATCCAAGCTCCTTGTTTACCTCATCTTCATCTTATCACCAGGCCCAACCATCTCCCTAGCAAATAATAGCTCCAAGCTCATTGCCAAAGAGTCCGTGCTGACTCATAGTGACTCTGTAAGACAGGGGAGAGCCTCCCCTGTGAGTTCCTTGAAGTTAGCAGCCCAACACATTACCCCTGCACCATCAGTGCTCCCAGTTTTAAAAGAGGTGTTCATTGTTTTGTCTACTTTTAACTTAGGTGTGGACGGGCTCACTTAGATGGGAATAATAGGAACATCTCAGATAAACTTAAGAAAAGTAAGGACTCTTAGAATGGCTACAAGGATTTGTATCGGAAGGGTTGACCAATCAAACCACAAGGACGGAGGAGAAGCCATGCCTCCGGAAGGAGAGGAAACGAGGTGCAAATGCTCTCGGAGCCCTCACAGTCTCCCTCCTCTGTCTTCCTTTACACGTTGGCCTCCTGGTGCTTTTTTGCAGACAATGCCCAGCCAGCTCCTGTACCCACATGCACGGGCATGCTCAGCATGGTTTGCCAAGCCCCACCTGGGAATGTGAAGTCTCAGTTTTTGTCACCTGCTCACCTGGAGTGGGCCAATGTGTGGACACCACGGAGGGAAACTGTGGAAGAACATGAAAATTCCTGCAAGAAATTTCTACCCGAGAGAAGTGACGAAAGATATGGCTGGGTAGAGAAGCAGTTGTGTTATCATTTCAATGAAAAGCCTTTATTGCACTATTTACAAAACAAAAACAAAAATTCTCCATTTATAATTCTGGGAAATAGGTATAATCAAGCAGAATATTCTCTTGCTGATGTTGTTGTGAATTTGTCAGTTGCTATTGAGTTGATCAGACCCTAAGTGACCCATGTACAACAGAGGGAAACATTGTCTAGTCACGAGTCATCCTCACAGTTGTTCTTGTGTTTGAGCCCATTGGTAAAGCCACTGTCATGCCATCTTGTTGAGAGCCTTCTTTTTCACTGCCTCTCTACTCTACCAAGTAGGAGGTCTTTCTCCAGGATCTCTCATAACAACATGTCCAAAGTACGTGAGACAATGTTCTGCCATCCTTGCCTCTAAGGAGCATGTTGGCTGGACTTCTTCTAAGACAGATTTGTCTGTTCTTTTGGCCGTCCATGGTATTGTCAATATTTGCCACCAGCACTATAATTCAAATACCTCGATTCGTCTTTGAGCATCCTTATTCAGTGCCTGTCATTCTTCAATGTAGCTGATGGGCTTGAAGTTTTCTAAACCTGAATCCCTTCTCTAACCTCCCTTCTACACTCTCTTCCGCTGCAGATTGTGCTTGAGAACAGCAGCCGAGAAGACAAGCACGAATGTCCCTTTGGCCGCAGCAGTATTGAGCTAACCAAGATGCTGTGTGAGATCCTGAAAGTGGGCGAGCTGCGTAAGTACACTTGTTCCCCATGTGTGTGTGAAGCTTGCTGGTGACCCATTTTCTAAGGTTGTATGCTAACCAGCACCCAAGAATTCCCAAGGTGTTTGAACGTCTTCACAGTGCAGTGAAACACTCTTTGGCTCAAGTTCTCAAGTGTGTGTGTGTGTGTGTGTTTCTGCTTGTCTGCTGCAGGAATAAGTACTATTAAAATCTATGGGAATGGAAAAATATGCAGGTATTACCTACCTCTGAATTTTAAATGTGATGAAAATAAGTATCTATTACAGCAGACTTCCATTGAATTAGGGAAAAAAGAACTACACATTCTTTTTTAAAATTCCAGCTTATAATGTACTACTAGCCCTTTTTATTTTTATTTTCTCTTTATTTGAAACAGTTTATACAGGAAAAAAAAAAAGAACACCCTAATGAGGTTCTCTTGCTTCCAGCATTTCAGTTTTGTGGCATGCTTTCTCTCATAAAGAAGGAATTTCTAAAGAAAATGGGTAGTTGATATAAATATGGCCAGTGAAATGCTTCTTGTGCTTTTTCTTTCTTATAAATTTTAGGAGGCTATAGAGCAAGCTCTCCTTTTGGCCTTTGACTCACTGGTATCATTTGAGTCTCAACATGTTAAGGTTAATCAATCCTTACTCTGATGTCAGGAGTCGACTAGTGGTAGAGTGGACCACATTTTGTGTTGCAGACCACAAGGTCAGCAGTTCGAAAGCACCAGCTACTTTGCAGAAGATGACTCTTTCTACTTCCATAAAGCAGTTCAATCCCAGAAACCTCCCGGAGTTCTAGTCTGCCATGAGTCAGAACGGACTCGATGGCAGTGAGGTTTTGGCCATGGACAGCAACATTGAGGCTGCCTGAGAGGTAGCCACTATCCCTTCTCTCTAACTTCTGTGATGCAGGAACCGACCAGCGTTTCAGCGTTGGCTTGCTAGTGTGAGCACGAGAGACGAGGGCCTATTTAAACTGGAACTGTTGGAATGTTTGGCACTATTGTGAAAGCATATTCCGTCACTGGCTTGAAAGCTTAAAATAGTGGCTTGAACTGATTCAATAGAAGGACTCCAATGGCTAAGTTAGAAAAGGGGGTTTTGTTTTGCGTACAGAGTGGAGCTGAATACAGCTTCTGCTGAGGTAAACGAGAACATGGAAACTTAAGTAAGGGGGGACTAAATTCAGACTTTGAGAGATCTGTCCCAGGATGAGCAGAGCTTATCATCCTCCTGTGTGGGTCAAGGGGCCATTTTGAGGAAGTAAGGCATCAGTGTATTTTAATGCAAATAATGTGCCCATTATATGTTTATTTGTAAGCCATGCATCTTGTCCCAGTAGCTTGTTATATCCATGTGCACATTATTTACCTTGGTGCTTTATTTGCAGAAAAACATAAACTTGAATTAAGACTTCACCCACCCCCAGTAGCAACCTAACCTGGGAGATTCCTGTGCCAATCGGTTTTTCACCAGTTCCCATCAGTTCTGACTCATGGTAACCCCATGCATGTCTGAGTAGAACAGTGATCCATGTGAGTTTTCAGTCTCTGATTGTGTGTGTGTGCATGTGTGTAAATAACTGCCAGGCATTTCTTCTGAGGTGCCTCTAACCTTCTGGGTAAACAGTCAAGTCGTTTGGCTATTTTCCAAATAGGATTCCCCTGGTTGGAGGACCACCGCATTTCAGGATGCCAGCTTACCCGGACCCTCCTGTCACTTACTCTGCCTTCTTTCTCCTTAGATTAACTTATTGAGAGTTCTAGCTAAAGTATTCCCTGCAGTTTATTTAACCTAAAGATGTAACTCTGGAATCAAACCAATCCTATTGAATTCTTGAGCCTGATGACTGTGGCCATTTCTTGTTGATTTTCATTGTGTGGGGGAAATTGCAGGTGTCTCTCGTGAAAACACATTGCAGCACCCTACAACTTTTAGGCACTGGAGAACTGTGTTCTACTCGGCTGTCAACGGGGCCCTGGTGGTGCTGCAGTTGGCAATTTGATTCCTCCCCTCTCCCCCTCCCCGCACTGTGGTCCTACAGAAGAAAGACCTGCTGGTTGGGAAAAGAATATCGTCTAGAAAAACATATGAGGCAGTTCTAATCTGTCAAACAAGGTCACTGTGGGTTCAAAACGGGCTCAGTGGCATGCACCAACGGCAACAGTGGACTGGCGTTTTGGGGGACCAAATGATGGCCTTAGATTGCCCTTTCCTTGCCACCTCCACGTTCTTCTGCCCCAGTGCACACTTTGGTGTGGCCACCGAGGGTACACTCTGCTGTGGTATGGCATGCCGTACTCGGTATGCTGCTCTCCCTCTACCCAGTGGGCAAGTATCTACTTCCCTCCTCAACACTGAAATACTAACCAAAGAGATGTAGGTTCAAGTCCACTCAGAGGTGCTTAGGAAGAAACCCAATGATCAATTTGCTTCTGAAATGTCACAGGCACGGAAATCCCTGTGGCACCGTGGTACTTTGAAACACACGAGTCAGAATTGACTGAGAGCAATGCATTCGGATTTTTGATCAGGTGTCCGTGGGGGACCCATGGGGTGCGTGGAGGGGAGGCACGGTACAGGAGCCTGACCGGTCTGTCCTCATGAGCTGAGTGTTAGCCTGGTGCTTGGGGTGAGTGGGTGCAGAATGGGGTCCTAGCTCTTGGGTGCTCAGAGCCGGCTTCCTGGTTTTTTGAAGAACTGAAACGGAGGACTAAGATGGCATCTCATCCTGATGGACTGACATTGGAGAGTACGGGGAAGGGAAATGGCTATGCCTACTGTCTAGTCTGAAGCTGAGAACACCCCAACTGCTGCTCTGGGGGTGTACAAGAGCCCAGAATGCACTTGGTAGTAGAGAGATGGCACTCACCACCCTGCCCTAACGGGCTGTCTGTCTGGCCAAGCCTGCTCTCCAGAAGCTGAGCTAGACTTGGACCGCTGCATCTGATGCGCTCAGTGCAGTTTCCACATGACCATGCATTTATTCATTTTCTCAAGGAAAATGTCTTCTGCTTAATTATGAAGTGCCAGGGGCCATGAGAGAATAACGATGAACTGAAAATGGCCCTTCACACTGGGAGATTCTCTTTCAGTCGGGGCAGGACCGATCCTAACCCCCAATGTTTTTCTAGTAGTTGGGAGGCATTCTGTTGTTCAGAAGCAGGCTTGTTGTGTGTTCTAAAGCAGATGTTTCTCAATGCCTAGATAGCTTTAAGTTTTAAGCTTGGGTCTCTTTCGAGGGCCGTCATCTGCAAAGGCCTTTCTGGAAATGTTGCAAGGCTCACGAAAGGGTTTCACGTTTCTGAAGTCTACATGCTCGAGTGAGCTGTTTCTGCTTATAAAATATTAACGACTTACTACGTTCTGATTGAGTGCTAGGCATCAAATGATAAAACACCCCGCGGTAAGAAGAAAATTGCTTTTTAATGGATTGCTTGTTGCCCGTTGCCATATTAAATAAGTTACTAATATGAAAAACAAATCGGAATGCACCCTTATGTTGAAGGAGATATCTATTTTTCTTCTGAGGAAAATTAGTTTCTTACACAAATTCATCTTCCTTTGGTCTGCATGTGCTGCCTGCTTTCCTCATTGCCTAAGTTCATAGTTCTGAACATTTCTCCGATTTGTGAATAATGAACCCCCAACCTGGTGACTTTTATTTCTACAGGCTAGTCCTGGCTCCAGCGAAACATCCAATTAAAATTCTAATTGTTTGGGAAACAAAGGAGATATATAGAAATAAAGATTCTATTTTCTGGGAGTTGTTTGTCTTTTGATTTTAATTTAGGATATCTTGAGAAAACTCACTTTTTAAATGCCCATTACATTTGTGTCTAAAGAAAACATATTAATGTTCATCGCAATCACAGGTATTCAATATTTATGTACAGTACTTTTCGGTTGCTTTGTTCTCCTAAAAATGATTATTATTTTTGCTTCTCAATTATGTGAAAGTGCCCCTGTTATTTGTCATAGTGCAGTCTATAATAATGTTTATTCATGTTCTCAGAGCACATTTAATTCTATAAACTTTTATTAAAGTTACTGAAGTTTGACATGTCTTAAAATTAGAACACTTCCAGGAGCTAACCCAAGATCACTAGCATTTATGTTTATTAATTAGGAAGGAGAGAATTCTACTTCCTGTGTAATGTTTCAAGGTCACTGAGCTCAAGGGCACCCAAGAAAGAACAGTGGAAATGAGGCAGGAGAGCAACAGTGGTTGGCCCGGGTCTGAATGATAGCTCAGCTTGGGTATGTGCCTCCCTCTGCTGAGCTTCTTGGGTCCTTCTCCATGAAACGGAGATGGACTTTACCTTAATGAGATCATGATGCTGCTTCAGGTAAATCTCTCTCTCTCTGCCTCCGTGTCACAGAATCACTCCTTCTGTGGGAACACTGCAAGCAGGTGGGGGTGGTGGTGATGGTGCGGACCTCAGCGATAGCTGGAGCCAACATCTGGAAAAATGTCCCTATGCTTTCTACTCTCTGTATGTTGACTACAGTCATCTTTTAAATCTGTGTGTTCATTCATTTTGTTTAATTCCGATCAGTTTTTCTTTAGGACGAGGGGCTCTCTTGAGCAAGGCACTTGTTTTCCTTTAATGTTAATTCTTATATTCCCAAGGAAGAATACTTATGGGTCCGACTTGGGTCTCGAATCTCCACAGGCTGTGTAATTAGCAGGCCCAGCTAGAGGAAAAGATGGAAGGAATGGAAGGATCCAGTCTCACAAAGGTGAGCAAAGGAAAGAAGGGAGGTGGAACACAGATATATCTGTAGATCCCGACCCTGTGGGACAGGGTAGAACTGTCTCTCTGAGTTTCTGAGACTATCTCTCTTTATGGGAGTAGAAAGCCCAGTCTTTCTCTAGAGGAGCAGCTGGTGGTTTCCAATCGCTGACCTTGCAGTTCGCGGCGCAAACACATAACCACTATGCCACCAGGGCTCCCCCGTTGGAAGATACTCTGCTAAAATGAGCTCAGAAATGGTAGC